AAGGACTTATCTGTAAATGATCACCCGGGACTTATAGTACAACCATGAGTGTTATATGGCTCTGGCTTTAGTCAAGTATGATGACCTTTCTCTAGCTTGTTAGTGGTTACCGAAAGGCGCAAAAGGGGCATGACACGATGAGTATGGTGCGGCCTCTGTTCCTATGTATGATGTTGCGCGTGTGTGCCATATCAAAAGGGGGGCTCTATATCTACTTGCCACGAAAACCTAGCGGTGACTAACTTGTTAGACTAACCTTTGAAAGACTTCATAGTGAACCCTGTCGACCTTCCTTGGAAGTGGGTCAAGAGGCTGATCACCTCGGCGAAAGGGTAAATCACGGCTCATGAGTAAAGATGTACAACCTCTATAGAGTGTTAAAAACTGTTATAACAGTCGTGCTCATGGACACGAGCGGCCTGGACTCCTTATGGAATAATAACAAATGATCGACAATGTTTTTAAATGCTATCTCATTATTCATGTTATCAGTTTCATGTGATTAATTGGGGCATTGCTAAACTTGTTGCTACTAATGCTAAATTTGACTCATTAAAATGCTTAATGTTGTAAACCTGTGTCTCGGCCTTTTTGAGCCTTATGAACCACATGTTATATTTGTTAAGTACGAGATGTACTTATGCTTGTTTATTTTCATTATTTGGACAAAAATTCTGGATGGGTAACAGATTATGGCGGTTATGATAACTTTCTTGAGGATTACTAGACTTGTGGTTCACCAATCAACTGTCCCTGTGGCGCTTGGAGGCCTCACATGAAGATTAGATTTGAGTTTCCGCTACTTTGATAATTTATTTGTTCCAATGCATGGATTATCATTCGATATGTAATAGACTCTGAGCTTGATATAATGTAATTTGTCGTCTTATGTGTGAGACTGATTTCTGGACACGCATAGGATTCTACATCTGATTTTGTCCTTAAAATCGGATGTGACGAAATTTAAACCTAAGTGGAGAGTTCTCTGTGAAATCACATTACTTAGCATTACTGCATGCAGACATACCTAATATCAACAAGTAAATATGGAAATTAAAAACCCCACCGTAGATCAAAATCTTTCTCTAGTATCTATCTGGTACCTACGCAAGGGAATAGTGTTATTGAAAGAAAGTCTAGCCAAACATAATTGACAAGAGAGTCAAAATTGTTGCTTTTGCCAAAAATATTAAACAATTAGGCATAGCGCTAACATATATATGTAGTCTTGGGTGTATCTAAACCTCATAATGTGTCACATATGTAATGTCGTTTTTCGTGCAAAATACACATGGTGCGTTCTCAAAGGTTCAAACCCATGACCACTTGTCTTGCATGAGCCCTATTAACCATAATGTCACACAGTTACTTGTGACAAAGTATCATATGCTATTCATTTGTAACAACTTCTACGAATTTTTTATTGAATATTTGGGGCATATAGGATCTAAATAATCAACTATAAAGTTTTAGATCTCATCAAGTCCTACAACTATGGTATGGACATATCTCCGTTTGATCGAGATCACTTGAAAAATTCAAAACTTTCAATTTACAACTAGGGGCGGTCAAGTGGCATTCATCTATGAAAACCAAAACACCTCTCAAAGTTGTTTTGTAGAAGTGAATCGACACACAATCATTGCACACGTATTTTGCATAGGTGCATATACCCATTTATGGACAAGTAAACAGCATTACTAATTAAAAACATCCCTCTGGTCTTGAGCCAGCGCCTTTCGACAAATATTTGTATACTAGGAGGACTAAACACACAACCGTGTACAATACCTCACTTTGGTCACAGTAGCACTCCTGCCGACAAATAAAGAAGTAAACATGCATATATAGATGATCAGTTATAGCCGAAAGAGAACTAAGGACAAACCTTTTTATTAGACTGGAATCCAATCTAGTGGACGGCATCAACCACACGAAAAGACACACCCTAAAAACCACGGTGAACGTAGGGCTGGTTTGGCAAAGCTATTTAGATTCTCCGTGGAAGCTGATTCTACGTGGGAAGTGATTTTCTCACTGAAATTGATTCTCTAGGAAAAACTTTGTGTATACAGTGATGATTTTGTGCGTGAAGTGAATCTGGATAAGCTACTTTTTTCAGTTCGTAGTCCCCTACTTCATTTCAGAGTAGGGTTGGATAACGAGCTAGCTCGGCTCGGCTCGTTTACGAGCTCGAGCTGGCTCATTAATTTGGCTTGCGAGCTAGACATAAAAACACACAAATATAATATATGTATTTATTTAAATCTTGATAATAGCAATAATACAATAGCAACCCATCCATAAGCCTTAAGTCAAGGTACAAAAATTAATATGTGCTAATATATACAAATATAATAATATGATACTATAGTACTACACCACATATTCATAACATACATAATGCTTCCTTAATAATCTATTATTGTTACTTCATTTCAGAGTAGGGCCGGATAATGAGCCAGCTCGGCTCAGCTCGTTTACGAGCTTGAGCTGGCTCGTTAATTTGGCTTGGTAGCTAGACATGAAAACACACAAATATAATATATGTATTTATTTAAATCTTGATAATAGCAATAATACAATAGCAACCCGTCCATAAGCCTTAAATCAAGGTATAAAAATTAATATGTGCTAATATATACAAGTATAATAATATGATACTATAGTACTACACCACATATTCATACCATACGTAATGCTTCCATAATAATCTATTATTGTTTATCCATACATCCATTTAAAATAAAGTGATAGAGTCACAGTAATCCTAAGTTTAGAGGGTCTAGGTCCAACAATCAATCAATTGTATAGTGTAAGGCATTGTCATACAAATTAATATAAGTTTAAGGCCAACATCTTTGGCTCGTTTGGCTCGCGGGCTAGCTCGAGTTAGAGCACTATACGAGCTGAAATGCTAACTTTGCTCGTTGAAAAATATAAACGAGTCGAGCCGAGCCACTAATGAGCCGAGTTGAGCGAGTTAGTGAGCTGCGAGCTTTTCATTCAGCCCTATTTCAGATAATCACTTTATAGAATCAGTAAAGAATCACTTCTCAATAATTACTTGATAGGACTTTTCCTTGATTCAACTTAGAAGCTGCTCTATGAGCTTTGCCAAACTAGACCTAATAATTTTTGGGGTCTAGATAGCAAGAAATGGTAGTACGAATGGGCGTAAAATAAAATTCCTCGTATCAACGGTCAGTGGGCCATCTGCAGATTTTTTTTTTCGAAAACCGCCATCTGCAGAAATTAATACATGCAAATCTGATACTCCTGCCAGGCTGCCAGCTTATCTAAACCAATTACGTGCTGCCAGTTTTAGCACTTGAATTTTGGTGTGACTTTATATCTATCCCTCTCCAGCGCAGACCTAGAGCCCATGGGCCATGTATATAAACACCACCACCGCCCCCATCACGCACTCCGATCCTGAGAGCTCAGACAGCAAAACCCTCCCAGCATAGCCCCAGCCATCTCGTGTGAGGTAAGCAACATCTTTTCATTTCTGACTTTCTGAGGAGGAACATGTTTTTTCATCTCTAAATAATCTATTCAGATTGAATCATTGAATAGAAGATATATAGAGATATGAATAGAAGATATATAGAGATATATTCCTAGCCTTAGCTTCTTCGTTTAGATAGCTAGACTAGAGAAGAGAGATCATATCTCTTGGTTTGTGAGGAAGAACCTGCAGTGTCAGTCATAGGCTGCACAAGATCTTCCTTTTGATTACTTTGATTAATTTCTTCACGGTTAGTTTGTATATGGCAGCCATCGCTAGCATATATAGCACATAGATCTCTCCATCTTCTTCCATTGTTCATCTCTGATTATTTTGTTCATCTCCCACAGGAGAGGAAAAAGAAGCAATAATATACGTCTTGGATTTTTAATCTGGTATATCTTTTTAGAAGATCAGGGATCGGAGTGCTTGAGGATCCAAACTTCCAAAGGTATACCGAGAGGACCAAGATCTATTGTCTATACTTATATGCGTGCTCTTCCATTCCATTTCATGATAGGGTATAGATCTTAAGCAGCCTGGTCGTTTAATTTCTCATGTGTTTTATTATCTATTGTGTACTTGAAATGCAATCTTTCTGAGTTTATGTCCTTCCTTCATAGGTTGATAAAGCAGGCTGTGTCACTGGTTCGTTCTTTTCTAAACCCATTAATAGCCATAACAGTTCTCTAGCAATACTCCCTCCGTACCCGTAAAGCATGTCGTTCTGGGCTCTTGGCCCGTTTTCGCAAAGCATGTCGTTGTACGCACGCGGGGTCGCGTTTGGACGCGTTTGCCCCTGGCGCTCGCCGCCCGTTCCGCTTCACTACGCATTAATCGCCATGCAAAATCACATTCAAGCAAAAAAAAAGCATCAGCAAGGGGATTCGAAACCTGCCCACAGGCCTCGGGACGCAGCAGCCTAACCAATCCAGCTACCAACGTTTGTTGTCTAGGGGATATGCGCAACCCTATTTAATGAGGGCAAACAGAAAAAAATACCCCCTAATTAATCACTCCTTGGTAAACACAATCATGTCCTAAACGACTTGCTTTACAGGTATGGAGGGATTTCTCGAATACTGTGTAGGATTTCATTTTGCTTGGTTGTAGACACATGACATGAAATGCAGTAGGTATAGTTGTCTGTAATAAGGTCCAGTCTCTAGCTCACGCTTAAGAAAAATACAGAGATTATATGTATATTTAGGCATTTAGCAGTCCCTAGCTCACGCTTTTCTCCACTTTATGTATATCTAGGGCTTTTGGGGAGACTAAGGCTTCCTGTTGTTTTCCCTATTTCCTGTTGTGAACTTGGATCATGATAAATCTGAATTCTTTCCACGGGATCACAAATTCACAAGACCTGCGATTTATTGCTTTTACTGAAGCTCATTTGCAGTCGCATTCTCTCATTGAGTCATGTAGTGTACATCTCCTTTGTTTACTTTAATTTCTCATGATTTGTTTGTTTCATTTTGTAGTCATCATGGCTTCGGGAAATCTGGATAACAAGGGCAAGGGCAAGGCTGTACTGAATGATGACATCTCTGCGCCAATGGCAGTGGATGCTGTTCCTCTGATGGCGGCTGGCTCATCAGGAGGAGAGTCAGTGAGGTCGGCGGCGGCTGAGGCTATTCCTCCGGCGGCGATGGCGGCGCCGCCGGCGATCCATCCCGGATCCCAGTTCCAGCAACTTGACAAGAGCCTCATCCTCCTCATCAAATGCGTCATGCAGCAGTGCGTGAGGGCGATGGAGGCAGGGAACACCGAGGCGGCGAACAGTGCTCTGGTAGCCCTGTCGTCCGTCTCATCCCTCGACGGCGACACCATCCAGCGCCTGACGTCCGCCTTCACCGAGGCGCTCGCACGGCGCGCGCTAGAGCCGCTGCAGGGCCTGTCCTGGTCGGTCCAGGAGCAGCTCCGTACGCCTCCGCCGCCGGCGTACGCCGCCGTGGCGCGCCAGTGGTTCCACTCGCTGTGCCCGCTCCTCCGCGCCGCCAGCTTGGCCGCCAACCACGCCATCGTCAAGGCGGTGGAGGGCGAGCAGGACGTGCACGTCGTCGACCTCGGCGGCGCCAACCCAAGGCAGTGGATCGAGCTGCTCCGCCTCCTGGCGGCGCACCCCGGGGGCGCGCCGTCGTCGCTGCGCCTGACCATCGTCAGCGACCACGCCTTCTTCCTGACCTGCGCCACCGAGGTGCTCACCGCGGAGGCCACGCGCCTGCACGTCCCCTTGGTGCTCAACCCGGTGCGAGCCCACATCGACAACTTCTCGCCGACCGTCATCGCGTCCCTCGGCGTACAGCGCGGACCGGCCTTGGTGCTCTCGTCGACGCTGCAGCTCCACCGCCTGATCGCCGACGCGACCATCGTCAGGCACGCGGAGCGGGAGCACGAGACGATGACTAGGGCGGACGCGCTCCTCCACGTGCTCCGCGACCTGTCCCCGAAGCTGCTGGTGCTGACGGAGCAGGAGGCCGACCACAACGACGGCGGCGAGGGTCGGGGCGGGCTCTGGGACCGCGTAAACAGCGCCTTCGACTACTACGCGGTCCTGTTCAATGACCTGGAGGTGTCCCACGTGCCGCGCGAGTCGCTGGACCGCGCGGTCGTGGAGCGGCTGCATCTCCGGGAGGAGATCGTGGACATCGTCGCCCGTGACGGCGCGGCGCGGCGGGAGCGCCACGAGAAGATGCTGCGCTGGGTGCCGCGGATGGCAGCGGCCGGGTTCCAGCCCGCGGCGGTGACCATGGACGGGTTCAAGGAGACGATGAGGCTGGCAAACCAGCTATCCGACGGCGACAGGCAAAAGCCGCTGTATCGGGTAACCGCTGTGAAGGGGTGCTTCTTCGTCCACTCGTGCTGGGCCCCTATGTTCTCAGTTTCGTTGTGGCAGCCGGCGCCCGGCGACGATCAGTGAACGAATGATGCGCCAGCCGCCACCGCCAACCCATGGATTTGGATTCTCCGCGCGCCGTACCGCAGATCCTTAGCTTTGTCATGGACTCATGCATGGTTCTCTAGTTAATTTCGTTTCGTTTCATCTCCTTTGGTTTGATCATCAGCTGAAACTTGATTGTTTGAACTAGTTGTGCTATACATTCTTATTTTATTTCTACTCCTGTCCTGTCTACTGGTTGTTGTCATTGTCAATTTTATTGCATGTTTTAAATTAAAAATGGACTAGTTATTAGCATCCAAAGCTGGTGGCTTGCGTGCGACCCCCTTGGTTGGTGTTTTCCGAGTTGAGCTTCATGCTTGCATGTTTGAATGCTTTATTTCTGCAAAATTATACATGCTTATTATACATTGCTGGAATGGCTGCACAGTAAGTAGACTCCAGATTGAAGTTTGTCGGCATAACAACAACTGATTATTATATTTGGTCGTCGACATTATATATTTACACAGCATTTATGTTAGTTTCATATGTACTACATACTGTTACAAATAAAAAGTTTTCACAATGAAACCATAAGTCTAGATACTAGAAGAAAAAGGTCACAACGATGACACACGCACTATACATACTATATACTACTAGAGAAGAGAACCTCTCAACACAATCATATCAGTTCCAAACTCGTAGTACTGGTTTTAAAACTGGTAACCAATGTGTCAACTGCCAACTACGAGTGATATGTGTTTACAAATATCAGGAGTGGAAACATCTTTAGTTTCACTCTCGTCTGTTGACACCAGCTGATAGTCGTACTTTGGAGCGTCACTAGTTTTCCTCAACAATTGGGAGTGTTGCCAAGAGAGCATCACACAGCTGGTTGTTGCAACCAACCTGTTACGGATTTAAATTCATTATTTTCAAATTGGATTCAAATTTACAATACATACACTAAACATTGTAGTCCACAATTCATTCATGATACATTGTTATTGGTTCCTTCTATGCACACTAGTTGGAATCAACCACTGCAAACACAAGGATATAGTTGTGTATCCTCCAAGTCTCTATTGTCTTCATCATCCTCCATTGGGCTAGCACTTGTGAACTACAATGCTCATGCCACCAGCCTCTCGTGCACCACCCTAGCACCATGCATGCATGCCAACACTGGTGTCATCCTTATCACCCTCCTCCTCCTCCTCCTCCTCCTTAAAGTAGACCAGCATTTTGTTCTATAGTAGCAGCCCATACAGTGCGATGTGGAAGGTCTCGTCTTCTTCCTCCTCTACATGAAATATGTTGAAGTTGCCCTCTAGCAATTCCATATCCTCCACCTCCTACTCTGACAAAAACTCTTAGGGCTTGCTTGGATCCTTAGAATTGAATTCATTATAATAATTACAATTTAGGCATAGATTAATTAAGCTAATATAGTTGCATATGGAATATATTTGTATCTTTATTGTTAGGCATACAAGGGACATACTTATATGTTACATTTCTATTGTAGGGAAGTGAGTTGAAGAGTGTGCTATAAGTTAAAGAATAAAATTATAACATAGTGATCTATAGAATCAATTTCCATCTCCCACCTTATGAATTTGAGATAGGCTTATTTGTAAACTTGTGAATGTTATGGAATGTTAAATTCCAAGCCAAATAGCCTAATCCATTATGTAGATTTTAATTCCTCCAAAATGAAGGGATCAAATGGCCCCTTACTCTATTTGGATAAGGGGGGGGACTAGGACAGTACGTCCTTGAAGTCCATTTTGGTGGGAAGAAAGAATAATGTTCGCATTTGTGGTGGTGGGAGGGCGGGAGGTTAGAGGATATATATGGGGAATGCGATGGTGGGTTCCACAAGGCAATGGCGGGGATGAGGAATGGGGCTTTCTTTGCAATGGATTGAGGCTTGGTGGAAATGTATTGGGAGCCATGCACACCAGGCAAAGCATTTAATCAATTAATGGTGTTGTGTGGAAACTGTGCATGATACTAATCTAATACGTGATGGACAAGATTCGAAAGATAATTGTTTCCAAAGCATTCCTCTTTGCACCTCTAAATTGATGGCTCACACAATTACTTATAAATACAACCAAGACAAATAGTCTATTAGTGCCACGAAGGTTATCTCAAACTATTAAAGATAACCCAACCAGAAGAGATTCATGACATAATAAAATTTATCCCACACATTGTTGCCAACCATGGAAAAGAAACTCATTTAATGGATCTAAAAAAGTTATGACAAACAAGATATCCTAAAAGAGAATTTTCTAAGCATGCAGTGGTGTCTAGTACTATGCGGCAAGGGTTTTTCTAGTATTCCAAATGTGGGTCAAAATAACTTCGGATTTATTGCATGAACTAGTTATTGTGAAAGTAAGATACCGCTAGTTATTCTTTGTTTCATTACTTTTACTGTATATTGTTAATTCAACTGTATGCATCAACTACAATGGACTTTCACACAAAATGAATAATGATGGAAATAAGGCCATATGTGAAAGGAAATAGGGGGGGGCTCAATGTGACCCAAGACGGGGGAAGGAGGTGTGATTAAATCGGCTGAAAAAGAACTATGTATCAAGAAGTATACCTATATGTTTCTCTAGTGTCTTTATTTACCCACCCACAAAGAGATTTGCAACATGTAACCAAGACGAAGGTAACTAGAAAATATGAAGGTATTTATAGCCCAAAACCAATGAACATTGGATGATGATCATGTGGGATGTGACTAGCCGTTACTAACAGTTGCCAACTAATCCAATACCAAATCCTGCACCACCAAATGATCCAGAAAGTACCCTCCTTCATTCGGTGGCTCCAACATCTTTGTTGCACTTTTTTATTCTTTATTCTATGATCCAGTGGCCCTGTTTTTCCTTCACTTGAACCCATCCAACCCCATCGTATGATGTGGTGACCATTCTCCTCTTCATCGGGTGCTCTGGTGATCCTATGTGCTGTATTTTTTTTATATTTGTCCTATTATATAGTGTTCTATTATAGCGTTCAGATGGACGAGAGCCATACAGATCTTCACATCTATATGATCTTTCAGTTAATGTCTTGGATTTTAATTTCGAACCTATAACTAGTTTAAATCCTGGGTGCTTGTGTTTTTTATAAATGTGGGTTGAGATACTTCTTTAAAAAAGCTGAAGTCTTTCCAAAATAAAAATAAATAGTAAGCTATACTGTACTGTACATATCCCCGTAGTGGGCCTTTTTGGGCTCCAATGGCCGTGTGGAATGGAAAGAACTTTCACTTTCAGCCCGTACGTGAATCACGTGGCCGTGGAGTATCTTAAGCCGTGGAACGGCATATTTGTCAGGTGAGGGAAAGTGAGAGATAAGCTCAAGTTACCTACTTTAATTAAGCTTGAAAATTGCGGTTTTAGCAGCTCCACAGTTAAAGAAGCCTCGCGCTGGTAGTCTGGTACTGTACAGTCGCAGCCGCGAAAGGGGAATCGCGCGAAATGGAGCTCTCGCCGGCGGGGAGGTGGGCCGACCTCCCCGAGGACATCGCCCTTGCCGTCGCCTCCCGTCTCCAGGTGGGTGCCCTCCCTCTCACTCGCTCCCTGGAAGATCCTGCAGGGTTCTCTCTCGTTGACTCCGCTGGCTCCAACCGCGCGCAGGAGGCCGACGTGTGCGCGCTCGGCGGCTGCTCGCGCTCCTGGCGCAGCGCCTGCGACGCCAACTGCGTCTGGGAGCGCCTCTTCCGCTGCCGCTGGTCAGCCGCCTCGGCGGAGGCGTCGGCGTCGTCGTCCCGTGTGCAGGTACGCAAAGAGGGGTAAACTTAAGGGCTTGCGGTAGCCATATTCTGATCTTGTGGTTATCCTAGTTCTATTTGACCGAAATTCGACCTTCTAGGTATATATCTCTGGGACTTCTTGTGTTAATGTATCATCCTGCCTTAGGTTGTTATTATTATGCTATAATTGGTAACTGATACGGAGGAAATTTTGCATAACCTTGACCTGAGGTCAATGTTAATACGTTTTCTTTCTTGTAGCATCAGAAAATTATTGTTAATTGCAAGACAGATACTTCTTGATTTTTTTTACTAAAAAGATGATGCTCACCCAATGATCTTAATAGAATGGACAATGGATGATCGTCAAATGTAATCTAACCTTTGGACTGTGCTAGTGGATTGCCCAAAATGTGAAATCTAGAATCGTTATATGGAACAATAACACACATGCCCTGCTATCCTCGTGCTTTCTTTGCTTAACCCAGTGCCATGTTCCCTCGGGCCTCATTGTTTGTGATGTGCTGATTGTAAATGTTACCATCTCTTTTGTCCTGTACCCCCCTTCTTCATTTTATTATATGAAACCTTATTCATTTGTATTTGGTGGAATCGCCAAATTGGTTCAGCTAGTTAATGTGAAGTCTTTTTTTCTCAAACACGTCAGAGAGTTGCGTAGAGAGAAGATAGTGAGGTTATGAGGGATTAAGTCCTCCAAAGCACACACCCAAAACTCGCACTTGCACTGCCACACTACAAACAGAGAAAAACTAGAAACGAAAAGGTCCTCGACAATCAGGCGACCATCAATCTACCAATGCCAGGGGTATTATACCCCAGCAAACGACCTGATCAACAGCTCCTTAACGCTTTTGCTCCAACAGAGCACCATAAGATGCATTCACCTGTGGCAGCCTGCAGCACAGCTCTGACACTTGGAATTGTGCCATTAAAGACACAATCATTCCGATGTTAAGTCTTGATATCTGGTTCAAAATTACCTATTTAACTGATTCTATGAATAATCTATTTCTCTATTTGACCATAAATATACAATAATTCAGATGTAGTCCATTCTAAAGCTCAACTTTTCGGTGAACACCTTTTTTACTCTCCTTTAAAGCTTAACTTTCTCTAGCCCTCCATGTTTCCTCTCCTTCAGTTTCTATGAGGTCTCTTAGAAAGGAAGAAGTAGAGTACTGACTGGTTCCATCTGCTAGTCTATAATAGGCTAGCAGAACCAAAATTACTCGGCCAGCGAGGGAAAGACCTCCCCCATGGTATTGTTTGGAAGAAGAAACCCAGTCTTCAACCAACCGAGAAACCCCCAAACCCTGACAGTGCACACTATTTTATGGGTTGTCAGCGAGGGAGGTTTTTTAACCAGCACTGAAATCCCACAGGAATTGAACCCAGGCGCTGGAACTCAGGAGTCACAACTACTACGCTATTAACCCTTTCGCTAGCAGAACCAAAGTTATTGGACCAGAACTGTACGTGCCTACCTACTGCAAATCTATGATTATCTTTAGGGGGCATTTTTTGCATTTTTTGAAGGATTACTTTGTTCTTTTTAGAGAGTGAGATATACAAGTTAAAATGACGAGTTGGCCCCAAAGTTGAATATTTGATGTCCCATTTCCCTTTTTTTTCACATATACTTGCTCCCATGATACTGAACAAATGGCTGATCAAGCTTTCTACTTTTCTGCTAATTATGCTGCAGGGATGGAAAGCTCTCTACATCAGCCAACACAGAAGAATGGCTGTTGCAATATCTAGTGTGGTTGAATTTGTGAGAAGCAGCTTAAATAATGGGTCACTTGAATCCGAATACTATCTTAAAGCTATTGCTGATTTGGCCTTGATACCTGATATAGGATTTCTCGATGTCCAGTTTTTCTTGTTTTCAAGGAATCATAGTGCGATAATAAACCTAATTGGACTGCACTACTCGATCGCGTCTTTGCATGTGCTGGTGAGTTATGTATTGCTGATGATTCTATTATGGATGAACAGGCTTTGTGTCGAAAGAACTCAACACTGCTTCATTTCTAAATTGTTAAAGCAACTGTTTTCATGCTTTACTTGTAACTCCATATTCTGGCAACCCCTATTTTATTTTGTTTTGAATCAGTCTTTTTATACCATAATGTGTAATTTGTAGTCCCAGGCATGCCACTCTATTTTGTTATGCACATATGCCTGATGTCCTCTGTATCATCTACCAAAAATCAAAGTATGGAAATACTCAAAGTGAACATTAAGATAATATATGATTGTCAACATTTAAAGCTTTGGAAGCATGAGTTATCAAATCGCCTGAAGGTTTCTCTTGTGCCTTGACTGATATCAGATGTTTTGACTAGAATGATCTAAGCAAGCTTTTGGCTACTCACAAAATGTAGTTTTGACACACACACTCTTTTTTTTTCAGCCAACTGAAGTCAGTAAAGCACTCCAAGCTCACCGTGTATCAGAAAGGATAGTTTGTGTGAACTTGCTCAAGCTTGGTAGGTGGTTCTATGGTTTCCGGTTGCCTGATGAATACGAGTCCCGCAAAATCTCACTAGGTGAGCTCACCATGGCTGAGGGAGCAGAGATTCTTGCCATTCTTAACCGTGGAGCTGTTCACGAGGTATTTCATCTCCGGATCAGTTTGGTGAACGTAGATAAGTGATCGAAAGTACAAAAATGTACACACCATAAGTACTTGGCTTGTTTTGCCCATTGTAAATATGTATATCATCTGATGCCCTCGGGCCTCTTCTTTGTTGTAAATGCAACCGTGGGGATGGATCGAAGTATGGATCCATTTAAACTTTTGTTGCATCATAGTCTTTTATAAATAAATAATAAAGGCTTGTCATGTGTAATTAGTCCTACACATTTTCACCGTTTCTGTGATAACCTCTGTTGAATGTTTTCCATCTTTTATTTTCCTTCATTAGTTCCTACTGTCTTCTGCAATAATGATACATCATTTTCTGTAGCGATAGAATATACTCCCTCCATCTTTTTTCTATTACATGTCGTATTAGCTTTGTTCTATAAACATTTGTATCTTTGACCATTGATTTTAAACAAAATTATATAGGTTCATGTCATAAGATTTATGTTTTTAGATTCACTACGAGAAATATTTTCATAATTCATATGTTATGAAAGTTTTAAGAATTTTTTTAAATGGTTGGTCAAAGATAGTAATTTGACTTAAGACAATTCTAATGTGACAGTTAAAGTACGATGTGGGTATCTATTACCTATATGTTACAGTGGGTACATGCAGGATGCAGAATTATGGCACCTCGTAGCAACATAGGATTAGTGTTGGGATGGAATGCAAATAACTGGGTTTTTTTATATAAAAAAGATTGGAACATCTGATCAAAACAAATTATGATACCAAGTATAGAGGATCAAAATTGGCAGATATGGGGCAGTCTGGGAAAACTGGACCATCGACATTCCCTTGAACTTATCAGCCTGGCTTATCAGCTATGATACAATGTTTTTCTCTCACAACAAAACAGCATCAGTCGGCTTATCAGCCGTAAAAAACATCAGCCGAACAGCACATAAAACGTCCGAAGATGAGCTCTATTGACAAAAGTGGACTTCGTCATTGTATGGATCGTCCAATTTTGCGTAGCTTAGATCCATCCAGCTTTTAAAAGTTTACATTAGTTTAGAGAAAATAGATCTCACTGTTACTGCAGAATGAGATTCATAGATTCTGCACGGAGCAATAAGAGTCTCGGGAGAAAAGAAAGAGAACCATGAATCGCAGAAAAGCTTCAGGATCCCTCTTCTAATGGATAATGACAATATCGGAACGATAAGCACAAAATAATTAAATTAGACAAATAGTGGGTTTTCTTAAAGTTCTGAGAAGATCCTTTCATTTAAAAAGGATATTATCTGCCAAAAAGTGGTGGATCTTTGAGTTAAACCTTTGGTTTATTTTTGATACTTTGTAACCTTGTTTCTTTAGTGCTTTCCTCGTGGATGCCACTAGTCCATCCAGATTCACTGAAGATACTGAAGTTGAAAAACCACCTAACAAGGAGAGAAGATCACAGAAGAACAACTTTGCCTAATTGCATTCTATGACAGCGTGAACTGACAAATCCGGTTCATTGCTTACTCTGTTCTGATCAGATAAAAACATTTAGAATCAGAGAAGCAGAAGGGAGGTCATAAGAGATAGTAGCGGGTAATGCAGCAAAACACTTTTGATGATATATATATGTGGTACCTTTTTTTTCAGGCTACCAAAAGCAACGAATTCAGGCTAGAGATGAACGAACTTCCTCATTCGCCGAAACATACGGATTACATGGCTTGCAGTACGATGGATATTACAGTTGAGTAGAAATTATTGGTGGATCAAAAGATGAGGAACCAATGCCTGGCCTGCTCTACACTGCTATGCTCCCCAAGAACCTGAACCTGCCCTGCGCGGCGGCACTGCAACCTCAGCCTGTTGGTTGGATTCAGAAGCTCCTGCGATCCTCCCTGGCAGTGGCAGAGCGAGGAGGCGTGAGCACTCAGCAGCACGGGTAGACGGCGACGCAGCGCCTCCTGGGCGGCGTGCAGAGGAGGATGAAGACCAGGGCGATGATGGCGGCGACCAGCAGCCCCAGGAGGTTGAACCCGGCCTCCTCCTCCGATTCGTTGCTGCAGCACATCTTGCCCATGCCGATGGATGGCTGTGGCCTGTGGCCTGTGGACGATGGCCGATGGATGGATGGCTGGCTGGCTGGGTGGAAAGAAGAGCAAAGGGGGCTTGCTTCTTGGTACTGGCTGGTATATAGTATAGTGCTCCTATGCTATGATCCTTGGCTTTGAAGGCATTGCACATTGCAGGGTAGGCAGTGGTTGGGGCATCGCTATCGCGTCTCCCTCCTATCAGTGATGGTGATGCCATCCCCTTTCCCTTTGGTTGCTCGGCACCTCACCTCCATCCTCCCAGCCTCCCAGGATGGATGGATGCGCAGCACGGCTACCAATCGCACGCACCCACCGGTGGCGTTGGAGACTGTTAGGCAGATCAGATCAACTGCCGTGCTCGGCTCGGTTCGGATACACAGCACAGGAGTGTATGTATATTATATATTTGGCAAGTAGGAGAGGCCTTTTCTTTCGTCAGGATGGAATGTTCGGAGGTTCCGGTCAACGGCGACGGCGATGGCGACGAAATGAAAACTACAGAAATCGTGCTCTAGGGTGGCTCAGCTCAGCGCCTCAGCCTAGGACGTACTGCTGCTGGTGTAACTAACCGCAATTCAGTTATCTGTCAAACAGGTCAAGCACACCGAATGAATGAATGAATCTCTGACCTCAGTGGTGATGGACTGATGGCTAGCCCACAGACTGATGGCGATGTACTACGCTGGTAACGTAGCTAACTGACATGTTCTTGGCTCTGTGAAACCAACACATAGCCAATCAGCGGTGGCACACGAGTCGGTGACGCATGTTGCGTGTCGACTACATGGAGGTCACCCATCTCCTCTCGCGGGATGTGGCACGTTCTCTTGTTTTTTTTTTTCTGATCTGAGGCACTTTGGGATCAGATCATCAGATCAGAGGGAGAGGTTCCTTTTTCCATGATCAGGAAAAGAGGATCGGTTTGGAAAACTGGCTGGGCCCACTAGGGCATTATTAGCAAGTACTCCCTTCCGTCCCGTATCATACTGTATTCTAGCATTCAAAAATATCATAAAATATAATGCATTATAAGAACAAAAACTCAATTTTATATTAAATACTTTCTATTTATCAATCAATCACCATTAATCACGTTGATGTAGCGTCTGATTAGAAAATAAAATGAGGATACATGTGTCTTTTATATTCTCTCTTAATTTATCTTAAAATTTCTATAATACACTATATTACAGCACAGAGAGAGTACGTACTGTTTTTGTTTATTAAGATCGATCCCAAGCTGCATTATATTGTTGGAAGAGGATGAATGCTCTAGGAAATTTTAGCAAGTTCGAACTTATAGTAATTTAATGGATCCTAGGGATTTTGGACCATGAACCTTCCTTTCCAAACAGGGACTTTTTCTAACCCGAGGTAGGGCATATATACTACTCCCTCCATCACCAAAAGAATACAATATTAGAACAGTGTTATGTTTTAGTATATCACAAGTTTGACCAATTATAAATAAAAAATATAAATATTTATAATATCAAATAAATACCATTAGATTAGTTACAAAATGTATTTTCATAATAAATTGATTTAGAGTCATAAACGTAAATATTATTTACTAGAAACTTGGTCAAATGTGAAGTGCTTAAACTAGCACGCATACTATAGTTGTATCTTTTAGGGACTGAGGTAGCACCGTATTTTGTCCTTCGTTTTGATGGCAGAATGCAAATTTCTGTTCAGATTTGTAGTTGTAGGCCACTTAAGTCTAAGGGGGTGTTTGATCGGGGTGATTAAATTTTAGTCCCTATCATCTATGTTTGAATATTAATTAAGAATATTTGTCTTGTTCGTTTGGCTTATAAGTCATACTTTTTCAGCCAACGAACATTATTTTTCTCTCACAACAAATCAGCCAACAGTACTTTCAACCATTTATCAGCCAAGCGAACAGGGCAATTAAATATAGACTAATTATAAAACTGATTGCATAAGCCGTGATAAATTCGCGAGACGAGCTATTAAGCCTAATTAGTCCATGATTAGCGAATATGATGCTGCAGTAAACGTATGCTAATCATGAATTAATTAGGCTTAATAAATTTATCTCGTAAGTTAGTCATGACTTATGAAATTAGTTTTATAACTATCACATGCTTAGTTTTCCTAATTGACACGGAACATTCAATCGATTCAAACATGCATGCTTGACAACCAACGCCAGGGCGCATGGCGGTGGACCACTGGCAGCCGCCAAAAAAAACATAAATAAACTAGGAACGTGCAATATTCGATGGACCCAAGCATAATATAGTTTTCTATGAAAACTACAGAAATCGTGCTCTAGGCCTCTTGGGTGGCTCAGCTCAGCGCCTCAGCCTAGGACGTACTGCTGCTGGTGTAACTAACCGCAATTCTGTGATCTGTCAAACAGGTCAAGCACGCCCTGTTTAGTTCGCGGTTAGGAATCGGTATTCGGCATTGTAGTACTTTCGTTTGTATTTGACAATTATTGTCTAATCATGGTCTAACTAGGCTCAAAAGATTCGTCTCGTAATTTACAATCAAACTATGTAATTAGTTATTTTTTATCTACATTTAATACTTCATATATATGTCTAAAGATTTGATGTGATGAAGAGAACGAAAAAACTTGGAATCTAAACTTAAGGCCTGAATGAATGAATCTCTGACCTCAGTGGTGATGGACTGATGGCTAGCCCACAGACTGATGGCGATGTACTACGCTGGTAACGTAGCTAACTGACATGTTCTTGGCTCTGTGAAACCAACACATAGCCAATCAGCGGTGGCACACGAGTCGGTGTCGCATGTTGCGTGTCGACTACATGGAGGTCACCCATCTCCTCTCGCGGGATGTGGCACGTTCTCTTGTTTTTTTTTTTCTGATCTGAGGCACTTTGGGATCAGATCATCAGATCAGAGAGAGAGGTTCCTTTTTCCATGATCAGGAAAAGAGGATCGGTTTGGAAAACTGGCTGGGCCCACTAG